ACCCTTCCCGGCTGCTGATGTGCAAGCACTGCATGTTTAGCTGGGCGTAGCTCTTTGGAGCGCAGGTACAGTGTGGCTTACTGGTTTCTCCAGGTAGGAAAACTTCAGCACATAAGCCTGGTGGTCTCTCTGGGGAAAGGGAATTTTTCTTGAGGTATCAGCTAGCTCCAAAGGGTGGTAGGTGGTGTGGGATTGTTGACAGGTTCAGGAAGATGTTTGCATCTTCCTGAAAGATGCTTTGATGATTTTAAATGGCCACTCGGGCAGGGCTTCTTATGGCAAAGACCTTTAGGTGGAGTTAGGACCCAAGGAGTTAGCATCTGGGCAGTTCTGCCAATGAAAGGCATGCTCTGTGGGTGACAGGACTTGTAGCCTGAGTTTAATGGTTGTGTCCCCTTCCTCCAGGGTCTTGAACTCTTGGTCTCACATGATCCTCCTGCCTTGGTCTCCTAAAGTGCTAGGATTATAAGTGTGAGCTACCACGCCTGGCCAGGAGTTGTTTGTATATAATCTTTTTATATGTCCTTTAAAACAATTCTTAAAAGGAACCATGCTTTAGGCATGTCTTTTTGGGTATAATCATTAAAGCATGTAAAGACTTTTGTTTTTATTGTCCCTTGCTATGGAATTAAAAACCAGCATATCTCCCTTATCCTCCAGCCCTGTTTTTCTCCTTGTTTTCCTGCTTGAGAGATGTGGTTCTTTGTCCTGAACTGGTTATTCTTCTCTTCTCCTCTTGGCTCCCAAGCAGGCCCGGCTTCTCCCCAGCCAAGTCCAAGGAGAATAAGGGAGCAATTTTGGAAAAAGTATTTGAGCCCATGAAGTGTTAGCTGAGTTCTCCAGATCGTCAGGGATCCTGTGTATCATAGATGTAGACATGATTACGTTAGTAAGAAAAAGGATGTATGTTTTCCTTCCAAGGCCTGGAAAATGGAAGTGATTAGAGGTTAAGTGGCAAAATCAAACTACCATGTTTCCCCCAAAATAAGACCTACCCATAAAATAAGGCCTAGCAGGATCTCTAAGCATTTGTGCAATAGAAGCCCTACCCTGAAAATAAGCCCTAGTGACGGGCGTGGCTACGCAGCGCATCTGCACAGCCCATGCATTTCGTCGCCGAACAGGAAAGAAGACGAGCAGCCCTTCTCATCTGCCCCATGAGAGCTCTATTGCTCGACATGAGAGATTAGGGCCCATGGTTCTAAAGGAAATAGAGTTGCAAGAAATTCAGGGTGGAATTCAGGGTTTGGAGAGTTAGGATGATGTTCTAGAAGAAGACGACTTAACTCTATTTGAATAAATGTAGATTGTTGTACTGTACTTAAAAAAAATAACACATTCCCTGAAAATAAGCCCTAGGGTGTCTTCTTGAGGAAAAATAAATATAAGACTCTATCTTATTTTCGGGGAAACACGGTATGTTACAAAAAGCATTCTAGTCTTGCAAATAATCAGATATCCAGAACAGAGCTATAAAAAGCAGATTTTATTTTCCCCCACTATCTCCATGATAGGGAAAGAATACCCTCCTAAGTGCAACTTCATCTGTGGAGTAGACTGAGTGCAGGGGAAGGGCTGAGACGGGGCATCAGACCTGCTAACTAGGGTGGACCGGGCACGGGGAAGGCAGCTTGGCTGACAGCAGCGGTTTAACCTAGCCAGAAAGTGATGGTGTCCAAGAAATACTGTGAACTCTGGTTGTGGTTCAGACGGAGGTTGGCAAATGGGGGTTCCAGAGGGTGGGTAGAGCCCTGCAATAGCAATCTTGGGTTGGTGGTAGGAAATCTGGGCAGATAGTTGCCATTTACAAGGTGTTATTAGTGGGACTCTGGCCCAGAGCTCGGGTTCAGGGCCAGCACTTTAGTCTCTGGTGGGGAGGAGGACTGGCTAGAGTTAGACAGAACCCCAGTCTTCATGGGGGTTCAAGATACTGGGTAGGTTACCAGTTCAGGAACTTGGACATAGTCTAATAGTAAAAAATGACATTTTCTACAAGCTCTGACACAGACCAAGGCTGAAGACCAGTTATCCAGGTGAAGCACCCTGGCTGGTGGGAATGGGGTTCAGACTCAAGCACTTAGTCCAGTGGTCGCCACGATGGACTCACATTGAGGTCAGAGTAACAGGAATGTAACTAAATTCTAAAGCCCACCAGCGTTGGGGGTGGGCGGTGCAGCTGACCTGCCAGTGTAGGAATGGCAGAGTTTTGGAGGCAGCAGGCTCTACATTGTTCCTTCTCTTTTTTTTTTCTTTTTGAGACAGAGACTCGCTTTGTTGCCCAGGCTAGAGTGAGTGCCGAGGTGTCAGCCTAGCTCACAGCAACTTCAAACTCCTGGGCTCAAGCGATCCTCCTGCCTCAGCCTCCCGAGAAGCTGGGACTACAGGCATGTGCCACCATGCCGGGCTAATTTTATATATGTATATATATTAGTTGGCCAATTAATTTCTTCTATTTATAGTAGAGATGGGATCTCGCTCTTGCTCAGGCTGGTTTCAAACTCCTGACCTCGAGCAATTCACCTGCCTCGGCCTCCCAGAGTGCTAGGATTACAGGTGTGAGCCACTGCGCCCAGCCATTGTTCCTTCTCTTTATCATTATTATTCATTTGACTTTTTTTATGTTTTTTGTTTTTTTTTGAGACAGAGTCTCACTCTGTTGCCCAGGCTAGAGTGCCATGGCGTCAGCCTAGCTCACAGCAACCTCCAATTCCTGGGCTCAAGCAATCCTCCTGCCTCAGCCTCCCGAGTAGCTGGGAGTACAGGCATGCGCCACCATGCCCAGCTAATTTTTTCTGTATACGTTTAGTTGCCCAATTAATTTGTTTCTATTTTTTTTAGTAGAGACGGAGTCTCGCTCTTGCTCAGGCTGGTGTCGAACTCCTGAGCTTGAGCGATCCTCCCGCCTCGGCCTCCCAGAGTGCTAGGATTACAGGCGTGAGCCACTGTGCCCGGCCAACAAATCCTTACTGATTGTCCACTATGTCACAGTCACTATTTCTAGATGCTGGAAACAATATTGTGCAAAACCAGCAATGGTCCTTGCCCTTATAGAATGTTCAGTTTAATGGAGGAGTATGCAATAATCAAATAATTATATTCTTTCTCCAGTGAATTGTTTTGGCATCCTTGTTGAAATCAATTGACCATGAATCACTGAAGAACTGTGAGCACAGGAGTGACATAATTTCTTTTATGCTTTCAGATAGTATTGCTGGCTGTTATGTAGAGATTGTATTGCAGGAGGCAAGAGTTGATCTAAGGAGACCAGTGAGTAAGAAGTTGCAGTTATCTAGGCCAGAGATGATGGTGACTTGGGCCACATTAGTGGTAGTAGAGATGGAGAGAAAGTGATTATACTTGGGAAGTAAAGTTAGTAGGACTTGGGACTGCCTGGGTCAGGGGTGAGGGTGCATGCAAAAAGGGGAGAGGTCAAAGAAGATTCATATTTGGGGTTGGGGTCAAGGATAATTTTCAGATTTGGTGGCTAAGTGGATGGTAGTGTCAATTACTACCACACAAATGGAGAAGCATGTTTTTAGAGGGGAAATAATGAGTTTAATTTGGGATGAATTGAATTTGAGGTGTCTGTGAGACCTTCAAGTGGAGATGTCTAGAAGGCAGTTGGAATATGGTCTAGAGTATAGCTTGGGGGCGAGCTCCGGGTTGGAGAGAGTGATTTGGGAGTCACGAGCTCATAGGTGGCAGTGGAAGCCCTAGGAAAGCTTAAGGAGGAAGTATAAGGAGTGAGAAGAGGTGCCAGGACCGAGACCTCTGGGAGAAAGAATAGGAGCCCCAGAAGAAGTTAAAGAAGAAATGGCCAGTGATGGAGGAAGAAAACCAGGAGGAATCTATAGGAATTTGGTAGAGGTGGGAATTGTAAGGGGGAAGTGATGAATAGTGTCAAATGTATCTCAGAGTTCCAGTAAAATAAAGTCTGAGAAGCACCCATGTTTTTATGCCCCGACACATAGAGGTTGGTTGGTTTGTTTTACAAAAAATATCGCTTCATACTTAGGGGTGGCAATTTAGTTTTAATATTATGAAACCAATAACTTCTACACACTCTTTTTTTTTTGAGACCGAGCCTCCCTCTGTTGCCTGGGCTAGAGTGCCGTGGCGTCAGCCTAGCTCACAGCAACCTCAAACTCCTGGGCTCAAGCAATCCTTCTGCCTCAGCCTCCCAAGTAGCTGGGACTACAGGCATGCGCCACCATGCCCGGCTAATTTTTTCTATATATTTTTAGTTGGCCAATTAGTTTCTTTCTATTTTTTTAGTAGAGACAGGGTCTCACTCTTGCTCAGGCTGGTTTTGAACTCCTGACCTTGAGTGATCCTCCGACCTCGGCCTCCCCAGAGTGCTAGGATTACAGGTGTCAGCCACTGCGCCCAACCTACACACTCTTTTTTTTTGAGACAGAGTTTCGCTTTGTTGCCCCAGCTAGACTGCAGTTGCATCATCATAGCTCACTGCAACCCCAAACTCCTGGGCTCAGGCAATCCTCTTGCCTCAGCCTCCCAAACAGCTAGGACTACAAGTGTACGCTAATTTTTATTTTTGTAGAGACACGGTCTTACTATGTTGCTCAGGCTGGTCTCAAACTCCTGGCCCCAAGCAATCCTCCCACCTTGGCCCCCAGAGTGCTGGGATTGTAGGCGTGAGCCACCACATCAGGCCTGTACATTCATTTTCCACAGCTAGTGCCTGAAGGTGTTGCTGGCAGTGTCTGGTGTATATTTGTTTTTCTTAAGTGATGCCAGCTTTCATTGGCATCTTGTGTGCTAATCTTTCCCATCCTGAATTAAGGATATTAAGAGTCTAACTGCTGGGGCCAGTTCTCCTCTCCAAGGAGAACTAGTCTGTAAAAAAATTATTTCAAAAAAATTAATAATTAATTTTAAAGAAAGTACAACTGCAGTTTGGATTCCAAAACAGACTCTAAAGCGTTCTTGGACTGAATGTTCAATGTTTCTTTTCTTTCTTTTTTTAACCTTTTTTATAGCTATGTGAAAGCGGCCAAAGAAGCAACTAAGAATGGAGATCTGGAAGGAGCACTTAAACTTTTTAATCTGGCAAAGGACATTTTTCCCAATGAAAAGGTGATGAGCAGAATCCAAAAAATACAGGAAGCCTTGGAGGAGTTGGCAGAACATGGAGATGATGAATTTACAGATGTGTGCGACTCTGGCCTATTGCTTTACCGAGAACTGCACGACCAACTCTTTGAGCACCAGAAGGAAGGTGTCGCTTTCCTCTATAACCTGTACAGGGATGGAAGAAAAGGTGGTATCTTGGCAGACGACATGGGATTAGGGAAGACCGTTCAAATCATTGCTTTCCTTTCTGGTATGTTTGATGCTTCACTTGTGAATCATGTGCTGCTGATCATGCCAACCAATCTTATTAACACATGGGTGAAAGAATTTGTCAAGTGGACTCCAGGAATGAGAGTCAAAACCTTTCATGGTCCTAGCAAGGATGAACGTACCAGAAACCTCACACGGATCCAGCAAAGGAATGGCGTCATTATCACTACGTACCAAATGTTAATCAATAATTGGCAGCAACTTTCAAGCTTTAATGGCCAAGAGTTTGTGTGGGACTATGTCATCCTTGATGAAGCACATAAAATAAAAACCTCATCTACTAAGTCTGCGATATGTGCTCGTGCTGTTCCTGCAAGTCATCGTCTCCTCCTCACAGGAACCCCGATCCAGAACAATTTGCAAGAACTCTGGTCCCTATTTGATTTTGCCTGTCAAGGGTCCCTGCTAGGAACATTAAAAACTTTCAAAATGGAGTATGAAAATCCTATTACTAGAGCAAGAGAGAAGGATGCCACCCCAGGGGAAAAAGCCTTGGGATATAAAATATCTGAAAACTTAATGGCAATCATAAAACCCTATTTTCTCAGGAGGACTAAAGAAGAAGTACAAAAGAAAAAGTCAAGCAACGCAGAGGTCAGACTTAGTGAAACGAATGCAGATGTTGATGCCACTTGTGAAATGCCTTCCTTTTCCAGGAAAAATGATTTAATAATTTGGATACGTCTTGTACCTTTACAAGAAGAAATATACAGGAAATTTGTATCTTTAGATCATATCAAGGAGTTGTTAATGGAGACACGCTCACCGTTGGCTGAGCTAGGTGTCTTAAAGAAGCTGTGTGATCACCCCAGGCTGCTGTCTGCCCGGGCTTGTCATTTGCTGAATCTAGGGACTGTCAAATTCTCTGCTCAAGATGGAAATGAGGGGGAAGATTCCCCAGACATGGATCATATTGATCAAATAACTGATGATACACTGATGGAAGAATCTGGAAAAATGATATTCTTAATGGACCTGCTGAAGAGATTGCGAGATGAGGGGCATCAAACTCTGGTGTTTTCCCAATCAAGGCAAATTCTAAACATCATCGAACGCCTCTTAAAGAATAGGCACTTTAAGATATTGCGAATCGATGGGACAATTACTCATCTTTTGGAACGAGAAAAGAGAATTAACTTATTTCAGCAAAATAAAGATTACTCTGTTTTCCTGCTTACCACTCAAGTAGGTGGTGTTGGTTTAACATTAACTGCAGCAACAAGAGTGGTCATTTTTGACCCTAGCTGGAATCCTGCAACTGATGCTCAAGCTGTGGATAGAGTTTACCGGATTGGACAAAAAGAAAATGTGGTGGTTTATAGGCTAATCACTTGTGGGACTGTAGAGGAAAAAATATATAGAAGACAGGTGTTCAAGGACTCATTAATAAGACAAACTACCGGTGAAAAGAAGAACCCTTTCCGATATTTTAGTAAACAAGAATTGAGAGAGCTCTTTACAATCGAGGATCTTCAGAACTCTGTAACCCAGCTGCAGCTTCAGTCTCTGCACGCTGCTCAGAGGAGATCTGATAAGAAACTAGATGAACATATTGCCTACCTGCACTCTTTGGGGATAGCTGGAATCTCAGACCATGATTTGATGTACACACGTGATCTCTCTGTTAAAGAAGAGCTTGATGTGATAGAAGAGTCTCACTATATTCAACAAAGGGTTCAGAAAGCTCAATTCCTTGTTGAATTAGAGTCTCAAAATACAGAGCTCCTGATGGAACAACAAAGAGCTAGAAATGAGGGGCTGAGAGAACCTGTGTTCCCTTCTCAAGCAAAGAAAAAATGCCCTAAATTGAATAATCCACAGCCTCAGCCTTCACCTCTTATAACTACTCATCATACCCAGGAAGAATATATCACTTCCCAAATGTCAGATTTAATCATTGATGATCTGCCCCAAGAGGGTGAGAAAGAAGATCTCTCCAGTATCAAGACAAACTTTACCATTCTGCAAGATGGTAGGCACCCAGGCAAAAGTTCGTTTGATGCTGATTCTATAGCTGTTTTACCTAAGGGGTTCGGAAGTTTAGAAGAAACTCGGAATGACTCTTTATCGGGAATGACAAGAAGCTTTGCAACTGAAAAGGAAGCTCTACAAAAAGAGGCATCGCAAGAGGGGCCTACCCAGGAGGCACTGCAAGAGAACCCTCTGGGAAGTTTTAATTATTTACTTAGCAAATCAGTCAAAGCTGATCCCAAGCCAAATCTAGATCAACTAAAGGATGATGAGATTTTACATCACTGCAATCCTTGGCCCATTAATTCCATAACAAATGAAAATCAAAATACAGAATCAAGTGTATCCGTTATTGAAATAGCTGATGACTTGTCAGTATCCCATGGTGCACCGCAGGACGCTCAAGCAAATGAGGCCAAGTTGGAAGAGGAACCTTCTGTATCTTCACCACAGTATGTTTGTGATTTCAATCTTTTCTTGGAAGACTCTGCAGACAATGGAAAAAATCCTTCCAGTCAGTCTTTAAAGCCTGTGGAGAAAGAAAATAGCTTGCATGGCTCTGCAGCTGATTCCAGAGCAGAGTCTGTGCATAGCAAACCACACCTCAGTTGGGACTCTTCTGAGAAAGACGAACCAGAAGAAGTAGTAGTTAATGTGAAAATCAGAAGTAAAGCTAGAAGGATTATTTCAGATGATGAAGATGAAGATACTTCTTTTAAAGGTACCTCAAGCACAAATTCATTTAACACATCTCCCTTTCAGTTCTCATCTATGAAACAATTTGATGCTTCAACTCCCAAAAATGACATCAGTCCACCTGCAAGGTTCTTTTCTCCCCAAATATCCAAGAGTGTAAACAAGTCTATAAACCCTAGAAGATCTCTGGCTTCTAGGAGATCTCTTATTAATATGGCTTTAGACCATGTGGAGGATATGGAAGAAATACTTGGCAACAGCAGTGAAGCAAAGAGCGCTAAAGATCACCCAGAAGAAGAGGCAGAGGAAAGCAGTGGGGAAGGCTCCGGGTGTACAGAGGAGGATCATTCCGGAGAAACACCGTCTTCAGAAAACAAGTCTAGCCAGTTAATGATGTCTCAGCCTAGTGCTTTAGCTCAGGAAACTTCTCCTGGTGAGCCTGAGCCTCCATCTGGTGGTTCTCCCCAGGATGAGGCGGTGGAGGCTGTGAATGACTATGAGACTCTTGTAATGCGGGGAAAGGAACTGAAAGAGTGTGGAAAAATACAGGAGGCCCTAAACTGCTTAGTTAAAGCACTTGACATAAAAAGTGCAGATCCTGAAGTCATGCTCATGACTTTAAGTTTGTATAAGCAACTTAATAACACTTGAAAATGTAACCTATTTATGGTATTTTAAAGTGAAACTGAATATGAGGTAACTTTTGTTTCCATAATTGGATTCTTTGGGAGCGTGAAGCATTCAGGCTTAAGGTGAGAAAGATCTTAGAAAGCAACTTCTGCCTCTACCCTCTGGTTCCTGTCTCCCTGCCCCCTCTTACATATATTCTGGTATTCTAAGTACTAGCTTAGTATTTTCTTCACTTGAATATTCTTAAATTTTTCTTTTAGGCATATTCTATAAACTTAACGACATTATTTCTAGAGAAGTTTTTGTAAAATTACTGTGGCTTTCTTAGTTTTACCTAAAGTGATCACCTTTGTATATCACAGTGCAGATAAGATAATTAAAGTGACTTTTCTCAAGTGTTTTCTGTTTACTTTCTTTCACTGAGATGATGTCAACCACAAGGGGGTTTTGGCCGAGGTCCAGTTGCTGGTTGTACAAAGATCCAATTATTGAGACAACTCAAGGATTGCCAAGGAAGAAGGGAATTTTTGAAATGAAAGACATCTTGTGTGGGAAGTAGCTAAGATCATGGGATTTTAACTGAGAGGCCAGGTGCCTTGGGGCAGCTCATGGTGTAACTAACAAGGGGCTAAGGCCTTGGGTGCCTTGTGGGGGACGGTGAATCTTGGCATCAGGAAATCTGCCCAGGGGCCTTCAGAATCTCAGCTCATTTGTCTTGCAGAAAATCCACCATTTCTGGGAAACAGCTCAAAAGTTCAGGTAGTTAAGGGAGAGGATTATTAAGAAAACATACAGGGGTTACTGAAATGTGTTCCTAGAGCCAGTTACAATGATACGGGCAAATGCATATGGACACCCCTTAGTTCAGGTGGGAGCTTGTCATTAGTATTTCCAATTCTAGCACACACCTACTAATATGCTATTTTGGGCTCTCAGTTTAATACAGGTTGAGCATCCCTAATCCAGAAATCTAAAATCTGAAACTTTTTGACATGATGTCACAAGTAGGAAATTCCACACCTGACATCATGCGATGGGTCACAGTCAAAACGCAGGTACACAGCAGTTTATTTAGTGTCCCCAAGGGAAATAAAGGCCCTCCCATCCCCCTTCAGCTGTGATAGATCCTTTCTGCACATGCCCAGATTCTCCTACACAAGCCTGCCCACAATAAAATGGTTCAATATACACAAAACTTTGTTTCATATACAAAGTTATTTAGAATAATTATACAAAATTACCTTCAGGCTATGTGTATAATAAGGTGTATATGAAATATAAATGAATTCTTTGTTTAAACTTGGGTCCCATCCCCAAAGTATCTCATGTATATGCAAATATTCTAAAATCCAAAATACTTCTGGTCCCAAGCATTTTATTTTATTTATTTTATTTTATTTTATTTTATTTTTTATTTTATTTTTTTGGAGACAGAGTCTCGCTTTGTTGTCCAGGCTAGAGTGAGTGCCGTGGCGGCAGCCTAGCTCACAGCAACCTCAAACTCCTGGGCTCAAGTGATCCTTCTGCCTCAGCCTCCCGAGTAGCTGGGACTACAGGCATGTGCCACCATGCCTGGCTAATTTTTTATATATATATATCAGTTGGCCAATTAATTTCTATTTATAGTAGAGACGGGGTCTCGCTCTTGCTCAGGCTGGTTTTGAACTCCTGACCTTGAGCAATCCGCCCGCCTCGGCCTCCCAGAGAGCTAGGATTACAGGCGTGAGCCCGGCCCCCAAGCATTTTAGATAAGGCATATTCAACTTGTACAGCACAAAGCTGGGGTAAGGTACCTGGTAGTACATGTAGCACACATAGTTTGATCTTATACCTACTATCTGAACATCTCTGGCATATCTCCTCAATGAGGAAAATCTCATGGAGGCACATTCTGCTGGAGTGCTCAGAAACTTCTAAAATGGGAAACCCAGGTCTCTAGGCAAAGATGCTATAAGTTGGCATAGTATCAAATGCAGATGAGGGAGAGAATGAAGTGTGTTAAAAGAATCGCTGTTTGAAGCAGTGAGGGTGAGTGAGTGAGTGAGTGAGTAACAAAAAAAAAAAAAAAAAAAAGAATCGCTGTTAAGAAACACATTGTAGGCCGGGTGCGGTGGCTCACACCTATAATCCTAGCACTCTGGGAGACCGAGGTGGGTGGATCGCTCAAGGTCAGGAGTTTGAAACCAGCCTGAGCAAGAGTGAACCCGTCTCTACTATAAAATAGAAAAATTAATTGGCCAACTAAAAATGTATAGAAAAAATTAGCTGGGCATGGTGGCGCATGCCTGTAGTCCCAGCTACTTGGGAGGCTGAGGCAGGATTGCTTGAACCCAGGAGTTTGAGGTTGCTGTGAGCTAGGCTGACGCCACGGCACTCTAGTCCAGGCAAGAGTGAGACTGTCTTAAGAAAATTAAAAAAAAGAAACACATTGTAAAAGTTTTATTTTTGAAGTAGTATTTATATTATTATTTATATACTTTTTTTTTGTCTGAAACAGTCTCACCCTGTCACCCATGCTAAAATGCAGTGGTATCATAGCTCACTGCAACCTCAAACTCCAGGGCTCAAGCAATCCTCCCACCTCAGCCTCCTGAGTAGCTGGGACTACAAGCAAGTGCCACCACACCTGGCTAATTTCTTTCTATTTTTTGTAGAGATGGGGTGTTACTCTTGCTGAGGCTGGTCTTGAACTCCTGACCTCAAGCAATCCTCTTGCCTTAACCTTCCATAGTGCCAGGATTACAGGCGTGAGCCACCGCACACCCGGCCTATCTACTTTTTTTTATGTCATAAATAGGGCATTTTAAATTTAAAAAGTTTAGATACACAGAATGTTGACCCTGGAAAGGATAGTCATAATGTAACCCACACACTGAAAGTGAGGGAATGATGCTTTTTTTATGCTGATATCTCTCCTTTTAACCAGCACTTGGTGAATGGCTGCTTAGTTTAGTACAAACAACCCATGGAAGAACTGAGTGCTTTTTTCCTCTAATAAACATTTTTTTAAATGGAGTTAACATGGAATAGCTATCATGTGCCATGTTCTATGTTCAGACAATGTCACTAATACCTGTCCTGGCAGATCAGGGTTGACTACCTTGTACAACAAGTGTTGTCCAGGAACTTATTTATGATTCCCATACACTATATTTGATGCCCAATATTTTCAGTTGCATGAATAACGTGAGTTGATTCCCCTAAACATGGTTTCTGAGTTAATTTATGGAACATAGTTAAAGTCAGATAAGTAGTTCTGAGAGGAAAGGGAATACAAGTTGAAAGGAGTCTGCTTGACTTTGCGAACTACTGGCTACCTACTGCAGTATACACTCACCTATACCCACTTTCCTTTGCACCTACAAGCCCATACTGACAGTTCACAAAATACAAGGATTATCCAATACCTTCTAAAGAAACAAAATGTATAAAACTTATTCAGTCTTTCATATGATTTATTTTCTCCCTTCAACCATAATAATATGATACCCAAACTTTGTCTTCACCGGTGGATCTGTAAACACAGGCTTATCCATCCCACTGACAGGCAAGGCAAATGCTGCTTCTTGAAAAGGTCCCACCATGGACCCTCTGGTCATCCAACCCAAGTCGCCCTGAAAAACCCAAAAGATACATGATATCAGGTGGCCCTGAAGAGGGAACAGTTCTACTGTAGCTTAAGAGCATTTCCCAACATGAATGCTAAGGTTACTAGGTTTATTCATCTGGGCTACATAGGAATAGGCTCAGTGAGTACAAATAGGTAGAAGTCTAATCCTAGACTGAACACATAAGCACTCACAACACTGCCGGACTTTGAGGCTTTGCAAGTTTGGTTATGTGTAGGTTTAGACATAGGTGACCCTTATTCTACTATTCAAAAGTTGCACATTTCTTTTTTTTTTTTTTTTTTTTAAGACTTTTTTTTTTTAAGACTATCAAGTGCAGTAGTGAGGAGGGGGGAAAGTAGTAGAACAAGGAGTTCAATCTGTAACTGACTGTGAACAATCACGTGAGATAACTCACTACCTTCGGACCAGCCAAAAGTTGGACATTTCTGCTTTTAAGATCTTTGGTTTTGTTTTTTTTGTTTTTTTTTTTTGAGACAGAGTCTCACTTTGTTGCCAGGCTAGAGTGAGTGCCGTGGCGTCTGCCTGCTCACAACAACCTCAATCTTCCGGGCTCAAGCAATCCTTCTGCCTCAGCCTCCCAAGTAGCTGGGACTACAGGCATGCGCCACCATGCCCGGCTAATTTTTTGTATATATATTTTTAGTTGGTCAATTAATATATTTCTATTTTTGGTAGAGACGGGTCTCGCTCAGGCTGGTTTCAACTCCTGACCTTGAGCAATCCGCCCGCCTCGGCCTCCCAAAGTGCTTAGGATTACAGGGTAGACACCGCGCCCGGCCTGTTTTTTTTTTTTTTTAGAGATGGGGTCTCACTATGTTGCCCAGGCTGGCCTTGAACTCTTGGGCTTAAGTGACCCTCTCACCTCAGCCTCCAAGTAGCTGGGACTACAGGCACACACCACTCTGCCCAGCTGCTGCTTTTAAGATCTTTAAATGGAGATATGGCTAAAATTAATGGCTGAATATAGAAATAATCCCTACTTCTGTGTTTTCTTATGGAGGACAGAAATTTTTAAATAAGAGCAACATACCCCTTGCCTGGCTTTATCTTCACTATATTGTGCAGCCACTTCACTGAATCTCATTCCAGACTTTAACTTTTCCATGGCTTCCATGATTTTGCCGTGTTTTTCACAAAGAATGTGTCTGACCTACAAGGAAAAAGTATGTTCATATAATACTTGGAGACCCAAATGATTCCTCATAGTACAGCAGTTACGTTTGGATTACCCCCACCAATTAAAGAAACACATTAGCTCACAGCCACTGAAAATCCTGGAAGTTTGCCCAGTTGGGCCACAACGACAAACCCATTTCCTATAGCAAGGCAATATCTCAGAGCCCTGATATAGATGGCAAACAGGCATCTGGCTGTGGGAAGCTGTCATCTTTTACCACGGACCTCAGTGGGAAGAGGAAACATCATAATAGTTGAGAGCTTTGGTCCTAAAGTCAAATCCCAAACTGCTGTATGAACCTAGCCGTGCTTTTAAACCTCCAAATGTTTCCCTATTTGTGCACTGAGATGATAACAGTACCTATGTGTTCTTATGGGGTTTGAGGTAACACAGCCAGCATTCAATAAATGCTAGCGATTGTTTTATCAGAGTGGGGATGATATGAAAAAATTCACTAGGAAATATTTCTTACGAAAAGAGGCCTAATGTATTTTTTTTTTTTTACACAGTCTCACTTTCTTGCCCGGACTAGAGTGCCGTGGCGTCAGCCTCGCTCACAGCAACCTCCATCTCCTGGGCTCAAGCAATACTTCTGCCTCAGCCTCCTGAGTAGCTGGGACTACAGGCATGCACCACCATGCCTGGCTAATTTTTTCTATACATTTTTAATCGGCCAAATAATTTCTTTCTATTTTTAGTAGAGACGAGGTCTTGCTCTTGCTCAGGCTGGTTTCAAACTCCTGACCTTGAGCGATCCTCCCACTTCGGCCTCCCAGAGTGCTAGGATGACAAGGCATGAGCCACCGTGCCTGGCCTAAAAGAGGCCTAATGTATTGGTGCCTCCTCACAATTCAACACTTTGAAGAAGTATTATATGTTGAATATTAAGAATACTCAGTACTATAGAAGTATTCAAATTTGTCCTATGTTTACATAAAGCCATGGTTAAAACAGTATTATCTTTAAAAATGATTTTGTCAAGATATCTGTTTTGCAGGATTTCCCATTTCTCATTCAAATGGAATCAGTTATAGTCATGTGCCACTTAACTAAACAAATGAGTTGTCGGGTGATTTTTTTCACTGTGCAAAGACCACAGAGCATACTTACACAGACCTAGGTGGCATGGCCTACTACACACCTAGGCTATACGGCGCGCCAGGGTTACAGACATGAGCCACCGCACCCAGCCCAAGTTACACTAAATTTATAAAATACTTTTCTTTCTTTAGTAATAAATTAACCTTAGCTTACTGTAACTTTCTTTTACTTTATAAACTTTTAAATTTATTTTAACCTTTGGCTGGACGTGGTGGCTCACGCCTGTAATCCTAGCACTCTGGGAGGCCGAGGTGGGCGGATCGCTTGAGGCCAGGAGTTCGAAACCAGCCTGAGCAAGAACGAGACCCTATCTCTACTATAAATCGAAAGAAATTAATTGGCCAACTAATATATATAGAAAAAAATTAGCCGGGCATGGTGGGCATGTCTGTAGTCCCAGCTACTCAGGAGACTGAGCAGGAGGATCGCTTGAGCCCAGGAGTTTGAGGTTGCTGTGAGCTAGGCTGATGCCACGGCACTCACTCTAGACTGGGCAACAGAGTGAGACTCTGTCTCAAGAAAAAAAATAAAATAAACAAAAATTTAACTTTTGACTCCTTTGTATTAACATTTAGTTTAAAACACAAACACATTGTACAGGTGTACAAAAATATTTTCTTTATACCCTATTCTATAAGCTGTTTTCTACTTTTAAAATTAATTTTAACTTTTCAAACTTTTTTGTTAAAAACTAAGACACGAATACACATATTAGCTTAGGCCTCCCCAGGGTCAGGATCACCGTCTTCCCCCTTTACCTCTTATCCCACTGGAAGGTCATCAGAAGCAGTAACATGCATGGAGCTGTCATCTCCTATGGTAACAATGCCTTCTTCTGGAATATTTCTGAAGGGCCTGCCTGAGGCTGTTATACAGTTAACTTTTTTTCTTATAAGTTGAAGGAGTACACTCTAAACTAACTATAAAAAATATATATAATATGGTAAACACTAGGGGATAAGGATTGTTTAGCTCCATTATAATCTTATGGGACCATTGTCATATATAAAGTCTGTCGCTAACTGAATGTCATGTAGCGCATGACTGTATTTCACATTGTAGGTGATACACTGGGGTAGGGGCTAAAGGTGTCTCCTTTATAATTTAGAGATAGGCAAATCAAGTCTTTAGGGTTAACTACTGACACTGGGTAGGGGCGAGGGGGTTGCAGGGTGGGACAGAATGTCCTAGGCTCACAGAAGTAACTTCCTGACTAGTGGAGTTACATAGGAGATATGACCACATCAAAGGAAAGAATGTGTCAAAAAGCAGGGCTCAGAGAGACAAACTTGTTACCGAAAGTACCCAGTGCTATCTGGGGAGACAGGGACAAATAATCTGGACATGAGATGGAACGCCTAGTAGGAGACAAGAATGGTTCATCAGACCACAGCTTGGCCTAGATAAAACAGCTTCTAGACTGCCTCCCTGTCTCTGCTGCTACACTCACAAAGCATCCTTTGATTCGCTTCCTGGGAAAGTGCACACAGCCCTCATGATCACAGAAAGGGGACTCCATCCATCTTTGGCCCTGGAGTCAAATCCCAACTCCGCTGTATGAACTTAGGCATGTTCTTCTAAATGAATAAACAAGTATCCTGGTTTGGCCAGTGTGAAATGAAGACTTTGTAGTATCTGTGGGGTCTGCAAATGTGCATCTTGGAAGAGAGCCCAGCTACAGAAAGAGTTTGGGAATGGTCGGAGGTGCTGATGACGCTGTGGGAGTTGATGAGAAAACCCAGGGAGGCTGTGCAGGATGAGAAGGGGAGGAAAGAAGACTAAAGAGAACCTTGGAGAATATCAATGTTTAAGCAGCAAGTAAAGAAAGAAGCTCAAAAAGCATCATAAAAAGGAAAGGCCAGGCCGGGCGCGGTGGCTCACGCCTAAGTCTAGCCATTGGAGTCCAGGCAGGCGGATCGTGCAGGTCAGGAGTTTGAACCAGCTGAGGCAGACGGAACGAAAGAAATCTCTCTAAATTCTTAGAGTTAGAAACTATGGAGTCCATGCTTACAAGATTTTCATGTAAAAACATGACAATGGGGACAATGGATATTTATTACGCCGAGAAGAATACAATGTATATCGTCCTTCTAACTGCAAAAATAAAAAGGAAATTAATGTCTTCAAAGCCAAAGGCGAGACCCAAGGAATAACAACAGAGTAAATAGATATACTCCAAAATGAAAAAGAAATATAATCATTGGCCAACAGAAGAAAATATATTAAAAAAATAGCGGCATATGTCAAGCATCGCTGAATGACACTATAGTCAACTGTGAAGCGATTTTACCAGAGTACAACAAATAGCGGGGAGATGCTGAGGCATGGAGATCTGCATTGATGCCCAGGAGAGTTGTAGTGGTTTGTGAGCTAGCTGACGTTAATGTGCAAAGACTAACAGCTCTATCTGCCTGAAAGCAACTGATGTAGGTAGATACTCTGCATATCAACAGAAAAAACAAAACAAAAAAGGAAAGGCTAAGTAGACAGGAGAGAAAGATGTGGTTACAGAATCCAAAGTAGGAGGAAGTTTCAAGGAGGAAACAGTCCATGGTGCTGCATGCAGGTAAGATGCACGATAAATTAAGCAATGAACTGATCAGACGCAGTCAGGAGTCCAGAGGATGCGTCAGAAGAGAATGGATAAGAAGCTAGGATGCCGAAGTGCTGCAGGCGCTCTATCTGATAGCAGAGGCAATTGGAAGATGGGACACTGTTTGTGATCTCGACGACAAGTAATAACACCATTAGAAATGGAGATGAGCATATGATTATGTAGAGCTAAGAAGATTCCGACAAATTATTAACTGCATTGAAGTCAGAGGGAACAGGATCCAGTAGAATTTTTACATTCAAAGGAAAGGATGAACAGAGCAAAGATAAGGAGCACTATAATGAAGATATAGTTATAAGAGAGAGTATTAGAGTTAGCGTCTGAAAAAAATAAAGTCTCCAGTGAAGAAAAAATTTTACGAAAGATTCAAGTAATATGGAAAGAAAAACATACGGTGTTCTTGATGACAAGACAATAGTTTAGAAGAACAAATATACAAAAAAATCTAGTTTTGAACAAATAATATTTAGCGGTATACATTTCATAGAGAAGACGAGTGAGAAGCGAAAAAAGAAGAAAGGGATGGCGAAAGTAGGAGATATTTTGAGAACAGATAATTTGTTGACGTTCTGACAGATGAAGGCTGAGGAAGTTCCCCTGTAAGTGTAAACGATACTACTATAGGTCTGGTTTTTTGCTTTCTGTGAGATAATACAATAGTAGGCCAATACAATTTTTATTAAAAGAGTGGTATAAGTACATTAAATGTTGGCTAGGACTAAGTGTACTAGCTTAGTGCACTAAGGCTTTAGAATAAAGTGATTTGTTAATAGCATCTGAGCGAGAATCTGTTAGTTCTCGATTAATCTCAGCACCAGCTCCTGTGCGGAGGATCTCCAGGATATATGGCTATGTTCCCAACATCAATATGTGAAGAGTAGATGCGGTCAATCTGAAGCCTCATCTCTGCAATAAAGAGCATGTAAATCAAGAGTCTCATAAAGAGGCCTGGCTCGCGCGCTCTCTGAGAAATTCGCGCTGTCCTCGCGCTTAACCGGTAGGGTGACTTATAGGCCTGTCACACTGAAGTGTCCTTTTGGTTTAGTTCGGTTGCCTGCTGTGTTTATGAGAATCCGCGTCTCCTATATGTGTGCTGCATGCAGACGCTATGCGAGTGTTGCGGCTGTGGCGCTCATCACAGCCTAAGAGCTTGGGCTCTAGCACCATCACAAGGAACTTCGCTGGGCTACAGCGCTCTTCCCGCCTTACAGACTCGCCCGAGTATCTAGAGCTACCTACGGACCGAGGATGAAACATCGGGCGCCACCTGACTCACCCGCTCATCAACGTTCTAGGCATGCATGTTGTTTTGATTTGTTTACAACAGTTCCGCTTATAGACTTAGCAGCGCCGGGGACCGGGCTACATAATTTGTTTTTCTCTATGATAACTCACTTTTTTTAGTTGGCCAATTAATTTCTTTCTATTTATAGTAGACACAGGGTCTCGCTCTTGCTCAGGCTGGTTTTGAACTCCTGACCTCGAGTGATCCGTCCACCTCAGCCTCCCAGAGTGCTAGGATTACAGGTATGAGCCACCTCGCCCGGCCTGGCACTGGTATGTTTTAGAACATACATCCTGGGTTTAGAACCACTGGATGAAGCGATGTGCTGACCGATGGGAGCAGCGTGGGCGGACGGCTTGAGCCGACTGGGAAAGGACTGTTGAGTGGGCACCGCGGTGCTGGCTAAGGTTAGAGACCAGGTATGAGCAGTCCCGATCCTCAAGGCTGCGTAACTTTCCAGTAGGGCCCAGCAGTTCTGGGTTTAAGTGCAAAGAAAGCAGAATGTTGGATTGATCCAGAACTGTAGATTGGCAGATGAATGCAGCAAGATGACCAAAAGGAAAAGGAGTCGGGGCTCCTCAATCCAATGATCAAGCCCGTAGGTCTAATTTCCAGTGTATAGGAAATACAGGGCATAAGAGAACAAATCTGAAGCCTGGGAGAAGGTGGGGAGAGGAGGGCGGGCTTGAGGGCCTGGAGTCTGTGAGGAGGAAAATGGAGGAACAGGACTGGGGGAGGCAGGAAGGGAAGGGGAAGGAGGGAGGCGCTGGTGAGTCTCAGAATCCACACAGCTTGGAGTGACACAAGGACAGCTTGTGGGCACAGGGGTGGGGTGTGAAGCAGAGTGGCGGGATGTGGAAGGAGCTGAACCCTAAAAGGCTGGAGGCTCCTGGGGTCCCTCTCCTGCTGGGGCCTTCAAAAAACACTTATTATTTCTTACAACAACATGTGAATCTATAATTATCTTAAAATAAAAAGCTTTATAAAAAATTTAACCTTAATCTATTTTCCTACCTAATAACATGCTACCCCTTTCATATACCCCATTTATAGCCACACCAAACTTATTTTTTTCCAGAGAGTAAGATGCCTCTTTTTATTTTTTGGCAACAAGGTCTTGCTTTGTTGCCCAGGCTAGAGCACAGTGGCACTATCATGGCTCACTGTGGCCTTAAACTCCTGGACTCAAGTGATCCTCCTGCCTTGGCCTCCTGAGTAGCTGGGACTACAGGCATGCGCCACCACACCTGGCTAATTTAAAAACTTTTTTTTTTATTATTTTGGCATATTATGGGGGTACAGATTTTAAGGTTTCAATAAATGCCCTTTCTCCCCCTCCCAACTTTTTTTTTTTTTATAGAGATAGAGTCTCATTGTGTTGCTCAGGCTGGCCTTGAACTCCTGGCCTCAAGGGATCCTCCTGCCTCAGCATCCCAAAGTGCTGGGATTACATGAGCCGCCACGCCCAGCCAAGATGTCTCTTTGAGTTGTAACAATGTCCACTGCTTCAGCTGACCACCAGATGAAGTAGCTGGTTGTATTTAGGGGCCGAGTTTTATGAAAACTTCCTTGGACATCAGAATCCCATTTTACATGGTTAGATGCTCATACAAAAATGGAGGGCAGGCTAGGTACAGTGGCACATGCCTGTAATCCTAGCACTTTGGGAAACCAAGGTGGGAGGATCGCTTGAGCTCAGGAGTTCAAGAGCAGCCTGAGCAAGAGTCAGTCCTGATCTCTAGTAAAAATAGAAAAAATTAGCCAGGTGTGGGGGCACATGCTTGTAGTCCCAACTACTCGGGAGGCTGAGGCAGGAAGATCCCTTGAGCCCAGGAGTTTGAGGTTGCTGTGAGCTAGGCTGATGCCACGGCACTCCAGCTTGGGCAACAGAGTGAGACTCTGTCTCAAAAAAAAAAAAAATGGGGGGCAAATACAGAAAAGCAGATTCATTCCTCTCATCTCTGTCTCTGGGGCATACATTCACTGAGTAGAAGGGTGGGCAGAACATCACATTATCTCTCTTTTCGGCTACATGTGTATGGTTGAATTTATATGATGCAATTCTACTGCTATGCTTATCATACAGCAATGAAATTTCTTTACCTAACTGCTCCCAAGCAGACTGTGATAACAGGGACCATCTCTTACCTTTTTTCTTTAAATCCCCAGAGGCTAATAAAGTGCTTGGCACAGGGCAGATGTCACTAAATTCTCACTGAATGAATGGATAAAAGTATAGGTTCCTATATCCTGACTAAAACTTGGAAATCACTTTGTTGTGTAGCACTAAGTAGTTCCGTTTGCAGATTAAATTTTCTCCCTGCAGACATTCCTCTGGGACTAGGTTAAGTACTTCAAGTAATTATTTGCTGATTGTCTCCCACCCCCATTTCCAAGGCAGGGTCAAGGCCCTGGCTCACAGCAGGGGAGCTTCCTCGTGAGCCCTGCACCCTTGCCTGTTTGCTCAGCAGAGGTGCCTTTTAACGCTTACCTAAGCTCTTGGTTTCAGAAAATATTATTTTTTCCTGAGAAATAACTCATTTACTTACTGGGAAGATCTAACTTAATGTAATTTAAGGAAGAATACTAAAACTATGAAGAAATTCTGATGTCTGAGAAAAGCATTTGAGAAAACATTTAAAAGGAATTACTTTTCATAGACCAATCTCAAGTGAGATTGGTCTATGTTTTCCAATTTTGTGTTATCTTGATTTTATAACAGTGTTAGGCTGGCTTCTTAGCATGAGTTGGGTATACTGTCTTTTATGTGTACCAACATATATATGTTATTTAGGTTGGTGCAAAAGTAATTGTGGTTTTGGACCTTGAATTTTACATCATTATAACTAGGCTCAAACACATCATTATTAATCAAAATAGGAACCATTACAATTAACACATTTTTGCCAATGAGAAATAAGTTTGTTTACCTCTGTAGTGTAAAAAATCTGTGCTTCGATATTCGACAAACTCTTGGAAAGCATGAAAGTATTTTCTGCATATTGCTGGTTGTGGAAGCATTTTCCCTACAAAAGTTGTCAAGATGCTTAAAGAAGCGGTAGTCAGTTGGCAAGAGGTCAGGTGAACACGGCGGATGAGGCAAAACTTCGTACCCCGATTCGTTCAACTTCTGAAGCCTTGGTCGTGCAGCGTGTGGTCGAGTGTTGTCGTGAAGAATTGGGCCTTTCTGTTGACAGTGCCAGCTGCAGGTGTTGCAGTTTTCGGAATTTACTGAGCATACTTCTCAGATGGAATGGTTTCATCGGGATTCAGAAAGCAGTGTGGATCAGACTGGCAGTAGACCACCAAACAGTGACCATGACCTCTTTTTTGGTGTAAGTTTGGCTTTTGGAAGTGCTTTGGAGCTTCTTCTCAGTCCAACCACTTAGCTAATTATTGCCAGTTGTATAAAATCCATTTTCCTTGCATGTCACAATCTGATGAAGAAATGGTTCATTGTTATTATATACAGTAAGAGAAGACAACACTTCAAAATGACAATTCTTTTGATTTTCAGTCAGCTCATGAGGCACCCAGTTAGCGAGCTTTTTCACCTTTCCAATTTGCTTCAAATGCCGAACGACAACAGGATGGTCGACCTTGAGTTCTTCAGCAACTTCTCATGTGGTTGTAAGAGGACCAGCTTCGATGATTGCTCTCAATTGGTTGTTGTCAACTTCTTCTTTTTTTTTTTGAGACAGAGTCTCACTTTGTTGCCCAGGCTAGAGTGAGTGCCATGGCGTCAGCCTAGCTCACAGCAACCTCAAACTCCTGGGCTCAAGCAATCCTGCTGCCTCAGCCTCCCGAGTAGCTGGGACTACAGGCATGTGCCACAATGCCGGCTAATTTTTTTTCTATATATATTAGTTGGCCAATTAAATTCTTTCTATTTATAGTAGAGACGGGGTCTTGTTCTTGCTCAAGCTGGTTTCGAACTCCTGACCTCAAGCAATCTGCCCACCTTGGCCTCCCAGAGTGCTAGGATTAAACATTGTCAACTTCTGATGGCCAGCCACTGCACTCTTCATCTTCAAGGCTCTCGTCTCCTTTACAAAATTTCTTGAACCACCATTCCACTTAGGTTTGTTAGCAGTTCCTGGGCCAAATGTGTTGTCTCTGCTGCTTTACGACCCATTTTGAACTCAAATAAGAAAATCACTTGAATTTGCTTTTTGTCTAACATCATTTCTATAGTCTAAAACAGGCGTCCTCAAACTGTGGCCCACGGGCCACATGCGGCCAGCCGAGAACATTATCGGGCCCGCTGGGTGTTTTTGCCGCCGCTGTCTGTCCTGCTTAGCAGCCGACTTGTCCGGGGCCCACAGTGCGCATGTGTGGAATGTGCGCCGCACTCTCCAACGGCCCTCCAGCGGTCTGAGGGACAGTGAACTGGCCCCCTGTTTAAAAAGTTTGAGGATCCCTGGTCTAAAATCATGAATAACATAACCTCATTTATTTAAGAATGTATTCCAATATCAAACAGCAAATTTCAACAATGCTAAAACCGCAATTACCTTTGCACCAACCTATATTTCTATTTAACATGGGGAAAAAAGGGAGCTAGTAACTCACCTTTACTGCATTGCCACCACCTTTGGGACCCTGAGGCTTCTTGTCAGAACTGTCGCTCCCAGAGGCTGCTCCCCCTTTAGAGAAGAGATGACAGGCACTCATTTAAACTGCACCTTGATATTTACAGAAAGGTCCAACACACGAGTTGACACTTCCTTCATAGCACGAAGCTTCAAAAGGGAATTCTGCCAAACACTTTACTACATCAAGCTAAATTAATCTGTGATTCACTTCTTTTCAAACAGGAAATCGTGCCCTACATAGACTCTTCATGTAAAATGGATACACAGGCTGGGCTTGGTGGCTCATACTTGTAATCCTAGCACTCTGGGAGGCCGAGGCAGGTGGATCACTCAAGGTCAGGAGTTCGAAACCAGCCTGAGCAAGAGAGAGACCCCGTCTCTACTAAAAATAGAAAGGAATTGGCCAACTAAAAATATACAGAAAAAATTAGGTGGGCATGGTGGCACATGCCTGTAGTCCTAGCTACTTGGGAGGCTGAGGCAGAAGGATTGCTTGAACCCAAGAGTTTGAGGTTGCTGTGAGCTAGGCTGACGTCACGGCACTCTAGCCCGGGCAACAGAGTGAGACTCTGCCTCAAAAAAAAAAAAAGAAAAAAAAAGAATACATAAATGCGTGTGCTTATGAGTGAATGTGAGCTCCAGAAGTCTAGTCCAGATTCTCAGGACCCAGTTCAAATCCTGCCTTCTAAGGGCAAAGCCCTAAGCTCTTGTAAGATTTCAACATGTATTGCAACTATATATTCGAGCACTCACAATTCCAATAAGTCTTCAAGAATATTTTAAATAAAGATCAAATGTCTCACTACCCATTTCTTATTAAATACATTCATGTCCAAATTCCTGGAGTCTACTACATCGCCTATTATTGATGTCTTCCTAAGAAAAGTCATTGATATTCAGACTAACAACCATTGGCAGCATCTTACATTTTACTACTATGTCATTTTACGACTACGTTAACTTCTGTGTCGATGGCAGCATACTTACTGTTAGGGTCTGATCTAAGAACTATAACTAGATCAAGTGTTCAGTGCAATAAACATTTCCTAAGTAACTATGAAGTTCCAGGCATTGGGGATACAAAGATGAACAAGCCATACTCCATCCTTAGGGAACTCATATTCTAGTAAGGAAAACAGATCGTTTCAGGAGAATGCAGTAGGTACAGCAATGGTCATGGACAGGGGGGTGTGGAAGCAGAGAGAGCCATCAGAGCCATCTGGGTGGGTGGGGGGTTCCTGGATGAGTAGGAGCTGGTTAGCTGAAGGACGAGAAGAAGACATACAGCATATATAGGAAATTATATGGATGAAGGCAAGTCTGAGGTGGGAGTGCAGTCAGATGAGCCTGCCTGGGGGAGGTGGCTGAGAGTCTGGGCCACATTAAGGAGGAATTTACCCTAGAAGTCATAGGGAGCCAATGAAAAGTTTTAAGTTGGCCCGGGCGCAGTGACTCATGCCTGTAATCCTAGCACTCTGGGAGGCCAAGGCAGGCGGATTGCTTGAGGTCAGGAGTTCGAAACCAGCCTGAGCAACAGCGAGACCCTGTCTCTACTATAAATAGAAAGAACTTAATTGGCCAACTAATAGAGAAAAAATTAGCCGGGCATGGTGGCACATGCCTGTGGTCCCAGCTACTCGGGAGGCTGAGGCAGGAGGATTGCTTGAAGCCAGGAGTTTGAGGTTGCTGTGAGCTACGCAGATGCCACGGCACTCACTCTAGCCTGGGCAACAAAGTGAGACTCTGTCTCAAAAAAAAAAAGAAAAGAAAAGTTTTAAGTAGGAGACTCTACCTGACTTGCTTTAGTATCTCCAGTGCCTAGCACAGTGCCTGGCACACAGTAGGTGTTCAATAAATGTTCAACTAAACTAAAAACCCCAAATACTGACCACCAAAAGCCTAAGAAAATGTTACTACCAAACGAGTTCTATTAAACCAAAGTCTTAACTGGGTTTCCTGTATACCCACTCTTTTTTTTTTTTTTTTTTGAGATAGAGTTTCACTCTGTTGCCCAGGCTAGAGTGCCGTGGCATCAGCCTAGCTCACAGCAACCTCAAACTCCTGGGCTCAAGCGATCCTCCTGCCTCAGCCTCCTGAGTAGCTGGGACTACAGGCATGCACCACGATGCTTGGCTACTTTTTTCTATATATTTTTAGTTGGCCAATTAATTTCTTTCTATTTTTTTTTTAGTAGAGATGGGGTCTCGCTCTTGCTCAGGCCAGTTTCGAACCCCTGACCTTGAGTGATCCTCCAGCCTCGGCCTCTCGGAGTGCTAGGATTACAGACGTTAGCCACTGCACCTGGTATACCCACTCTTGAGTAACGATGCCTTCCAATTATCCATCCTCTCCCTTCCTGGATGCTGTCATCCCCTCACTGCCTTTGATTTACTGAGGACTCTGGCATCAGCTTTGGGCTTCCTGTCCACCCTCACTCCTGCCATTATCTTGGGTGACTTCATCAACTGTGGTGAAGAATCTCATCCAACAACCTAACGTCACAGTTCTGGATCTCCCTCCTGAATGCCCATGCTGTCCACTCCAGGCCACCTGCCCCAGGACACTAGATGGAACTGTGCCACTCAGAGCTAGTAGTTCAGTCTCTAGCTACAACCTCCTGTCCTTCCAGCCTTCTCATGTCTCATTCCCACAACACTGGCTCTTTGGCTTCAAAGAACCTCCTCCCTGGGGGAGGGGGGAAAGGGCATTTATTGAAACCTTAAAATCTGTACCCCCATAATATGCTGAAAAAAAAAAAAAGAACCTCCTCCCCTCACCACTACCATTGAGTTCCTTTATCCTGCTATGTTCCCCTAGACTGCCAGACTTCTTCCCTTCCCAGTCTGGATTCCACACTTGATCATCTGAACTGCATTCCCACTGGCACCCCAAATTCCCTTGTATTGCTATCCTCCTATTATTTTTTCTTTCTTTTTTTAAAGACAGGCTCTCACTCTCTTGCCCTGGCTTGAGTGTATGGCACCCTCACAGCTCACTGCAACCTCAAACTCCTGGGCTCAAATGATCCTCCTGCCTCAGCCTCCTGAGTAGTTGGGACTACAGGTGTGCAGCACCATGCTTGGTCAATTTTAAGAAAGTTTTCTGTAGAGATGAAGTCTCACTATTTTGCTCAGGCTGATGTCAAACTCTTGGCTTCAAATGATCCTCCCACCTCAACCTTCCAAAGTGCTAGAATTACTGTCCTCCTAACTGACAAAACTGCAACTATGGTTCAAGGCAACACTTAGCTTTTTTTTTAATCCTATATTGTGCCAGTTGCAAGGTACTTGGTAAATCATGACCACGCAGATCAAAGTCTTCAACAAATTCATGGCCTTCAATCTTAGTCAGGCTCCCAGCCCTGAAGGCAATCTTTTTGTGTTTCAGCCGCTCTACCATTACCCTACTCTAAACCTTTGCCACTCTCAAGACCCCCACTGAGTTCCTGCCCCTCAGTCTTAAAAAATACCCTTGTCTTCTACTTAAAGAAATTGAGGCCATTAAACATGACCTCCCTAATTCTACCCCGTTGGCCCTCCCAGGCCCCAATTCTACAACTATACTCATTTTGCCTCTTTCTCTAATCTAAGGCCTCGAGCATAAGGTGTCCCTTCTTCTATTCAAATGTCAACTGCTCCACCTCAGTCCAGGACCTCTCTTTCTCTTTGTACCTTTACCTCTCTTATTCTGCTGGATTCTTCACCTCAGCCTTACTGCCACATATTCCCCATTCTTAAGGAACAAAATAAAACCTTTTTTTAATCTTTTGTCCTCCTCTATCTACCATCCCATTCACGATTACCAGTTAAAACTTTGTAAGAAGTCCACACTGATTGTTTCCAATTTATCACTTCCCTGTCAGTCCTCTAGTCACTTCAATCTGGCTTCTGCCTTTCACTCTTACCTAAGGCGACCTCTAATTTCCAAATCCAAACAGTATTGTTTTCCTTCTTATCTTATTTGGCCATTTTGCTGTGCTTGACAGATCATGCCTTCTTTTTTAAAAACCTTCTGGTCTCTCCAGTCTCTCTGGGACATAATTTTGTACTTCCTGTATATGTCTGCCTCTTTCTCTGCTCTGTGTTCTTATTCTCTAAACTCTCCATGGGTAAATCTCATACACTCTCATAGGCTCAACTACCATCTATATGTTACTGACTCCTAAAACCTACAAGTGCAGTCCAGATCTCTCCCTCAAATGTCAGACTCAAATATCCAACCACTTCCTGACTATATCTTCACTTAGATGTACCACAGACACCTCAAAGTCAATATATCTAAATGTGAACTCATTGATCTTATCACTGATCTTCACGTACCCTTGATGTTAGCATGCAGAACTGCCAAGTTAGAAATCCAATCCAGAAAACAGAATGATTGTTGATCTCTACCCCTAATCCCATCTCCAATCCAATAAATCACCAAGTCCTGACTATTTCACATCCTAAATATTTACAGATTCTTTTCTATCCTTTCAGTTCCCACAGCCTCAGGCCACCATCATCTCTCACCAGGACTACTGCAACAATCTCCTTACAGTTCTTTCTGACCCTTAACTGACCTTCTTAGAATCCCATTTAGCATTCTCCATGATTCAATCTTTGTTTCTGTCTTCATTCTTACCACTTCCCTCCTGCGTTGAGATTTTGCTCCACCAACACTATACTCCACACATCAGGCTGTTTCTCATCTCAGTGCTTTTGCTGCTGGACCCTCTGTCAGGAATGTTTTGACCTACCTTCACTGTCCACTTTGACCTGCCTAACTCATCTCCAGGAAGTCTTCCCTTCTCTGTTCCCCAGCTAGATGAAGCACTTCCTCAGTTTCCATAACATCCCACACACATCACTCAACACTGCGTTTAGTACAGTGTTTTATGATGACTATGCTTTTCCTCCCTAGTTAGAGGAGGAAACTAGCTCCTTAAGACCAAAATATGTCTTATTTTTATATCCTCAGTGCTTGCACTGACCCTGACACATTTCTGTTCAATCGACGAATGAATGAGTCCTTCCCGGATGGTGGGCATGGCATTCTGTAAGCATTAAAAGGAATATTAAGGGCCATAATCAATGTGGACTTCTTGATAGCTTTGGATATGACTAAACTTCCACGCCTCTAATAACCCCTTGAAATAGCAGCCCCAACTCATCACCTCCCAGGAACCACCCCCACCAGCTTCTATTACCCTCCAGGACGGTCCTTGCACTGTAGCCCAATATGTTCTTACAACCTCAGTAGCCCTTCACGCACTTAACCTTTCTAAGCCTCGCTGGAAAATCCCCAGACATAATCGATGGCGGCTCTGTGGGGCTACCGGCTACTTATTGCCGCAGTCCCAGGCTCCGGGGACTGCCTATCTGTTCCCGCCCCTGGCATCCCCACGCCCCCTCGCTCCTCACCCGCCCCCATTGTCTTTGATCCATCTGGCCGCTCTACCTTTTCCCCCTTTTCCAGAACCACTTTTTCCTTTGGGCGGCATCTTCCAAACTTGCTGTTGAACTTTCAACTGCTCGCGTTGCCACGCAAAGCCCCTTCAGGCCCCACGGGCGTGTCCTAAACAATGCCTGAAAGCGGCATCGCAATTTGCCGTTCCTATTGCGTCTCCGGAAGCAGGCACCGTTTGAGGCAGACCTATCCCTTTGGCTCTCGGACCAATGTGGTTAAAGGCGTCTGACCAATAAGAAGCTTGGGACCTGGTAGAGGGGCGGAGACAAAGGCAGCGTTGGGGTGGGAAACCCCGCCCCTGCGTTTGTTGTTACTTCTTTTCACCACGCCCTTATTTACGGCAGGTCCCCAACTATCCCCATTCGCGCTCCCACTTCCTCCGCGCGTGCGCAGTAGGAGATCCGGGCCTCTGCAGTCCCTCCGCGCGGGTTCTGGCCAATCCCGCGGGGCCGCCAGACAAAGGGAAAGCCGGAAAAGCCACGGTGGCAGCTGCCTTTTGCCGTCCCCTCCTACACGGAGGCCTGCAGTCCCTGGCAGTTTTGCGTTTGTTAATTTTGTTTTGCAACTGTTATTGATTGGATTCAACAGGCAGTTTTTTTAAAAAGCCTGTTACACCTCTGCCTCTTGCAGAACTCAGTGATGGGGAAACATTGGAAGTAGTCTGAATGCTCCGCAGTCGGGCACTGCTTAAATAAATAATGTTTCGACCACACAAGAGGATATTATGCACCATTTAAAATAACGATTGTAAGGGTGTGTGTACAGTTAGGGGAAATGGCCTTAAGGAAGACCAAGATACGGAATATAATTTCTTTTTTAAAGAAGTATATACTATGTACTATCTAATAGATGCGTATAAAGGATAGGAAAGCTATACAGCCAAATGCGATCAGTGGTGCTAGTACATACAGGTCGTTGTGTATGTGTATGTAGTTTACAAAATTTCTGTAATGGTACAGCATAATAGTGAAAAGCATGGACTCTGGAGCCAGATTGCCTGGTTTCAAATTCCTGCTCCACTATCTGTCTACTAACCCTGTGATCTTGAGGAAGTTTCTTCACCTCTCTTTGGCTCAGTTTGATCATCTGTGAAATGGAGTTGTTGAAAATATTATCTACTGCCAACTAAAAATATATAGAGAAAAAATTAGATGGGCATGGTGGCACATGCCTGTAGTCTCAGCTACGCAGGAGGATAACTTGAGCCTATGAGTTGGAGGTTGCTGTGAGCTAGGCTGACGATGCCATGGCACTCTAGCCTGGGCAACAGAGTGAGACTCTGTCTCAAAAAAAAAAAAAAAAAAAAAAAGAAAAAATATTATCTACTTATAGGGTGTTAAGAGAAACAAGTTCATATTTGTAAAGCACATAAAACAATGGCTAGCTCATAGTGTTAGCTTCAGATAAATGAATTTTGAATTTGTGTCCCCACACTTTTTCTCTCATTACCCACAAACCCTGCCCCCATCAGAAATTTGTATATAATGTCAGAGCTTTTCCTTCATTCTGTGAGATAGCTGTCCTAGCTTGCCACTGCCAGCCAGAATATATAGGCCCTCCAGTTCAGAGTTTAGTGTTTGGATGCAGCCTTGCTGGACTTGGAGATGCTTCCTGCCCAAACCAGGGGGCCAGGTATTTCTGAGATTGTACCTATTCCCACTCAGACATAAGAAGGACCCTCCTTATGTTGCATTGCTGTGACTTCTGGCCACGGCTTGGGCACTCCTTGTTTGGGATTGGTAGTGATCAACTGTGGAGAACTCATCCAGTGCTAAGGGGATCATTCCTCCCCAACTGGATCCCCAGGTGGATCCTGCCCGTGTGCTGACTTTCCAGGTCCAGCTAGGAGATCCAGGGATTGGGGATTGGCAGTGACCGTGTGGCCTCATGTTCATCAGATGATCCACAGCTAGGAGGCACTTTTACTTCGGATTTTTCAATGGGAAGGGCCTTTCCTGCGACCACTGGCTATGGCAGTCTCAAGAGTACGAACGAAGTAAACTAGAGTTCAGGTTCCAGGGAAGAGCCAACGTGAAGAGCTGATATGCCTGGCAAATTCTTAGTGCCTGGAACATTGTGAAAGCTTTGTGCATTCCAGCAGATAATAACAGCAATAGTGATGATAAGCAAGCCTGTCTACGTGGCTGAATTTGTTTAAAACAGTGCCTAAAGGCCAACAGCTGCAAGAAGTCTGCTGAGGGTTTCAAGGTCAAAAGAACTTTAAGACAGCCAGATAAAAAACAATGGATGATCTGAACTATATAGTATGTATCACATAAAGATAGGGCAGGAAATATAATAACATTTTTTTTTCAGGGACTCTTGCTAAGAACAGCTAGAAAATATAAAACTTTTAAGTGTTAGTTCTATAATGTGAGTTTATCTCTAATTTTCATTTTCTTCTGTTTATGTTATGTTCTATCACTTGGCATATATTATTTTTTAATTCAAGAAAAAAGACAATAAACATTATTTGAAAAACAAACCACCCAAAAGCCAGATTCTATGCAGGGTTAAGTCTGCACCAGTCTGTGGAGGCAGACTGTGGAGGAGTCTGTGGAGCAGAGTGACAAATTAATGGAAGAGAGGGCAGGGGGAGCAGAGAGGAGAAAAATTCGGCCTTGAAACCATGGTAACGTCTGCTGCAGTGTGCACAGTGACTCAGAGCCAATAATGGCTGCCAGTTGTATTTTTCTACTAATTATCTCCTCACACTGATTCTTCCATGCATTACTTAAACAAGGACAATCAGGAAGGGAAGTTGGCAGCACTCTGCCCAGGACAGAGGTTCACAAACCTTGGCCCAGGCTCACTCACTGCCCTGCTCCACAACCAAAGGGTTACAGTTTATTTCCTATGTGAGATCCCAGCAGCGCTTATTCTGCAGGAGAAAACTTGAAGCCACAAAACAGATCTAGTTGGTCCCATTCATAGGTGGTCAATGCATAGGAGCTCTGGGCCCCAGACTCTGGGGACAAGGGTAGAAAAAGGTCACCTTTGGACATTGAAACCAGGAAAAAAATGGAAACAGGACTGATGTGTCTCCCTGAGTCCCGTCAGTGGCTGATGAACTTTCTAAGCCACTTCATGCTATTGTAACATGTCTTGCATGCGGTAATGAAGCTTTGAGTGACCGGTGTTTCAGAAAGGGCTTCAGAGAAGACTCCAGCTATGTTTGTCCTGCATTGTCTACGCAAAAGAACTATAGTTTCTGGAAGCCATTAATATTCCAGTATCTAGTCAGGTGGATTTTTTTCAGAGGCAGTGTTCATTCGAGATGGTAGAAAACAACCCGCACAAATGGCAGATGTGCTATGAGCCAGAAGCTTTCTCTTCCTGACCTCTTTCAGTTTTCACAGCAGCCTTATTTGCAAAATATCACTATGACCATTTTAGGGCTGAAGAAACAGGCTCATAGAAGTTAAGAAATGTGCACAAGTTTTCACAGCTAACTAGGGTCTGTGGTGGGGGGTTGGGTTTTGAACTCAAGTCTGTCCGATTTCCAAGCTGGTACCCTCTCCAGGACACCAAGCTGCCCCAGGCTTTGCTGTCCCCTAAATTAAACCTGAGAACATCCAGTTCCTTTTGTTGCGAGTACATGTTCACCAAGTCAGCTACCCGGGACCTTAAGGCCTACGGCGGGCATTCTGTGCAAGAGGCACCAGGGTCAAGTTATGCCCCGGGGTGGGACATAAATAGATTGGCCTTTGGCTTATGCATCAGTGTGTCAGTTGAGTAACCTGGAACGTGCTCACCTCTGCCTGCTGTGCTGAACCTCCTGGGCTGTGAAGGCACTCAGGCAAGGAGAAGGAACACAGCATGGGTAGGGGGCAGTGAGCAGAGCGCTGCAGCCAAGGCAGAGGGAGTCACTGGGGAGGAGGTCTTCTGCATCCTCAGCCTCGGGAACTTGCCCCCACGTCCAGTCGATTCTGCCTCCTGAACAGTGCATCTCCCTGCCCCCCATCGCTTTATGGTCAACAGCGAACATTTTGCTGGATTTGCTTTATCATGTATTCACCCATGAATCCATCTTAGTGTTGTTGCATTTCAAACCAAACTACAGACATCAGTACATTCCATCCCTAAACACTTAAGTAGTGATAATGTTAACTAGGATCCACTAATCGGCTTCGGCACATGTCCCCCGCCCTCCTCCCCGCTGCCACGGCCTTCTGCACATTCTCTGGGCCGTTGGAACAGCCTCCACATTGATCCCTCTGCCGCCAGTCTCATCCCCTCTTCAAACTACGCCCTGCAGCATCTGAGAGGGAGCTCTTAGAAACATAGACCAGACACTGTCACTCCCCCAATTAAGACCCTCCAATGGCTCCTCATTGTCTGATAGGACAGCGTCCAGCTCTGGAGCCTGGAGGCCGGGGAGCCTTAATGCTGACATCTGCAGCCTCATTTCTTGCTAAGCCCCACTGGGCTCCAACCACAGCAAGTTGCCAATTGCAGGCCCTCTTAAGACTCCATGCTGTTCTCCCTGCATGGAATGCTCTTTGCCCCATTTTTGTTTGCCGCCCCTGCCCCCTGCCCCCATTTTTGATCTGGCTAACTCTTAATTACCTTTCAAGACTGAGCTCAGGTGCTACCTCCTTCTGGAAGCCTTTCCTGACTTTCTTCTTCTTTTCCCAGGCCAGGCCACACACTCCTCTGTGCTCCCAAAGTACTCCATGTTTATTCCTAACGTTGTATGATTTCTGTTCTTTTAAATGTGTAAAGTTTTGTTTTATGGCCCATAGTGTGATCTGTCTTGGTGAATGTATCACATGTACTTGAGAAGAATAGGTACTCTGCTGTTAGGGTGGAGGGTTCTATACATGTCAATTGGATCCTGTTGGTTGATGGTGCTGTTCAGTTCTTTTATGCCCTCACTAAATTTCTTTTGTTGTTGTTGTTATTTATTTAGCCTTCTAAAAATTATTATTATTAATATTATTATTGTAGAGACGAGGTCTTACTATGTTGCCCAGGATGGTCTTGAACTCCTAGCCTCAAGCGATCCTCCCACCTCAGCATCCCAAAGTGGTAGGATTACAGGTATGAGCCACTGCACTTGGTCCTATTATTATTTTTTTTTTCTTCAATTTTTTTTTTTTTTTGAGACAGACTCTCACTCTGTTGCCTGGGCTAGAGTGCCATGGCATCAGCCTGGCTCACAGCAACCTCAAACTCC